CACTCTCCAATATAACCCACCCTATGAGAGGATCGAAAATACAAGCACATGTGGTTCTATTAGAAGATTTACGGTTTTTAACTCATACTAACACTTTATTATTAGTCAAAAAACTTGTAAAGTTTATTAAAAAGTATTTAAGTAAACACACCAAAAATTACTATATTTTTAGCATTAAAAGTTTTAAATCCGAAAATTTCAAACCCCTATTTATGAATTTATTACAAATTATTTTTAATTTTTCATTTTTGAAGTCATAAAGTAGATCAAACTTTGTAATCCAAAACAAGTTTTTAAATCAAGTTTGACTTACTCTATTAAAGTCATTTAAAGAGTTTTTACATTCCAAATGGTTACAAATTGAAAATTTAAATTTTAGGAAAAAATCTTTGAATGATTTAATCTCCATTAAATTTACCCATGATCATCTGTTTTGTAGTTTATTTACAAAAATTTTTTGCATAAATTCTTTCGGTAAATATCAACAATTTATTTAAATCTCTGAAATTACTTTTTGAGATAAACCTCTAAAAACAAAAAATTGAATTAACCCCCCCCCCGGGGCTTTATATTTAAATTATCCTCCAATAGGTAATTAATGCATAGTAGTGCTTTTTGTTTAATTTTGGAACGAAACTAAACAAAATCGAAAAAGATTATTTAAATGAAAACAACATTTATAAATAGAGCCAGGATTTTTAGGCACGATAAAGTTAAAAATAGGCGCCTATATAGGCACTAACAAACTGCCAAAATAGGCACTAAAATCCGGAAAAAAGGCAAAATAAGCAGGATTTTTTCGAGATTTTCTCATTTAAATTGCCTAAATTTGATCAAAAAAATAAATCTACGCAATAAACTGTTAAATAAATTAATTTTGACGATCAGAATTACATATAAATTAGTTTATATTAATTATTTTCTTTCCAAAAATAATTTGATAAATTTTTTAGAAGAAAATTTTTCCCAAAAAAATTTTTTGGCAAAAATTTTTTAGAAAAATTCTATATTTTACTAAAAAAATTTTTTATAGAAAAGAATTTTCTCAAAAAATGCCCAAAAATTCACAAATTTTAGTAAAAATATGCAAAATAGGCTGGAAAAAGGCAAAATAGGGCATTTTTCCAGAAAAAGCTGAAATAGGCAATTTTAGGCAACGATAAAAGTAGTTAAAAAGCAGATTTCAGTAAAATAACACCGGATTTGACCGTTTCAGCATCAGGCCTATCTAGGAAAAAAACAGGCATTTGCCTAAAAATCCTGGCTCTATTTATAAATGTTGAAATAGAAAGTTCTAATTAATTTATTTTTAATTAATATCTCTATTCAAACTCATAAAATTGAAAAAGGAAGATATTAAATATGCCCCTATTTATGCCTTTTGTTTGATTCGAGTAAGAAAACTTATTCTCTAAGACAAACAAATAAACAAAAAATTCCAATTTTTTATTAAACCATTATAAAATTCAAAATCAAAGCGACGAATAAAAGCAAAGCTCTTTAAAAATAAAAATTAAAAGAAGGTTTATTTTAAGCAAAATTATTTGGGTAAGAAAAAATAAAAATTCAGCAATTTAAAGTTAATTTAGGTATATTAAAATATTTAAATAGGTAAATATACAGGGTGTTTCAACTAAGAAATACTATTTGAAAAATCTATAACTTTTTACTAAGTTGACAGATTTTATAGATATTTTGTATTTTATATCTACATCTTATAGCATTTTTTCTGACATAAAAATTATGTCTAAATTCGAACCCTACCCCGAGATAATTTCGTACTCTACCGTTCTGTTTTTCCCTTTTTCCGCACATGCATTCTTACTTCCCTTTATTTGTTGTAAGGGGAGACAGACACTAGAGTAAACACTAGGCGATAGCCACTACATTTTCAATACAGTATCCACTCTTCGCCATACGCAGGAAAATAAATGAAGTAAGATAGCATGCAATGCGAAGAGAAAAAAAAGAGAACGGTAGAGTACGAAATTGAAATACAGGGTTAGGGTTCGAATTTCGAAAAAATTTTTATGTCAAAAAAAATGCTAGAAAATATAGATATAAAATACCAAATTTCATTAAAATCTGTCAACGCAGAAAAAAGTTATGGATTTTTCAAATAGTATTTCTTAGTTGAAACACCCTGTATTATGTATGTATGTATCCCATCAAAAATTAGATTTTAAAATATTTCCCCGTTTAAACTTTTTTATAAACTTTCATCTTCCCATTCTCACCATTTTCTCTTTAAATTGTTTGATTCAAAAATTGTGTCAAAATATAAAATGCTCTTTTAGGTGCCCATTGCGGGACCTATTAAAAATAAAAATTTCTTAATATATTCAATTAATTTTATAAGAATTACCATATGCCCAACACCTCTAACTGAAAATTGTTTTAATTAAATTATTTAATTAAATATTTTTATCCTAAATACATAATGTCAGATTTTAGGGGCACTCCCTAGGTATCTCGGAGCTATAACTTTGTTCAAAGTATAGAATAACGAAATTAGATCTGAGGTACCTTGGCCCGCTCCCCAGATTTTAGAGTATTTCTGCCGTTATTTTTTCCTTACTATTCATCTTGGATTTTCGGTTTTTTGTTCTGTTTAATTTATTTTTCGTTCTGTAAAAATCGGTTAGACATCCTTAGTGAGTCTAACTTATTTAATCATTTAATTTTTTGACTTATATCACTACATATGTCGTGTATTTGAACCTACCGGTTAATAAAGTAAGTCCGTCATATTCAGTTACAGTACCTCCTATTTTGTTTTCAAAACTCCAGGCAAATTTTGGTGTTAATAACTAAAATATATTTAGGTATATTATTATATAAAATGCAAAAATAACTGTAATTCCAAGTTGTGTAGCAAATCTTTCGCCAATCAAAAAATTACAAACAATATCAGTATCTCCATAATATGCCCATACTGGCACCTTTGCTTTTATTATATTTTTCATGAAATCTACCATATCAGCTGGAATTTTTAATATCTATAATTTTACTCAACTCAAATGTTATCTATCTTAATCTACACTATCATCCCCTTATCTCTCTTCCCTTAGTGCAAATCTTGCTTATTAATTTTAGAATACTGAGAAAAGTCTGTCTGTTTATGTCTGTCTACCTACCGAGGGTCTGTCTACCCGAAGGTCTGAAAGTCTGTCTACCTATACCGAGAAAAGTCTGTCTATTTAAAACGCAACTTTCTTCGGCTAAAAATAATTTTTATTTTATCAAAAAATTTTTTTCAAATGAATAATAAAATTATTCTAACCATATTGTTGATCATATTTAGTACGGAAATCATCATTACATTCTTTCCATGTAATATTGTTTGGAATATGGAATGCTTCTCGAACTTTTAAAAATAAATTAATTCTAATTTTAATTAGTTAACAAAAAAACCTTTAGGTAAATTCAAATATTTAGTTAGAATATCCCCTTAAATTAATAAAGAGAATTTTAAAATTTATTTATTTAAATATACCATTAATACATGAAATTATTGGTTCGTCATAACTGCCATCTTCTGATTGAATTTTTAAATCTTCAAATTTATTTTCCTAAATAAAAATTATATAACAAATATTTTTATTCATTTTGACAAAATTTTGGCAGTTAATAGACATTTCCAAGCATAGTAATTTTTTGTTGAGTTTATACCCTGGACTAAATCAAGTTTTTCGAACTTATAAATACTGTAAGGATGATTCACCCAGCAGCATTTAAAACGCTTAGGCGGGGGATAAACGATCTAAAAAGGAAAAAGAGAAAGCATTAGTCGATGCCCCGGTAGCTCAGAAGTAGAGCTCCTGCATATAGTGAGCGAAAGCGCCTAGCAACAACTAGCAGGTGGTCGCAGGTTCGAATCCTGCCCGGTGGCTAAACTTTTGCAAACTCTTTCTACATACCTCAAGTAAATAACTCCCCAATGTTTTTAAAATAAAAGGTGCTCGAGAAAACTTTCCAAGCAAAGAATTTTTTGTCAGAGTTTTTGATTTTGTTAACATATTATCTGTAAAATTTGTATAATCTTTAAAATCATACACTAAAGTATTTACCACAATCACGATAAATATCATAAGGATTGTATACACCATTATTAATACTCTTAAAGATCGAACCAATCTGAATAATAATTCATGAAATAATTTTTTATTATATGTAATTTAAAACAAACAATGTTATAACATTCTGTTTTTGTTTTATTAGCATAAGAAACAATGTCACAAGTTTCTAAATTAATTAAATTAAAAATAAACATTATTTTTTGTTATATATATAGTAAAAGATCCAAAATTTTAGCCAATGTATTAGAAACGTGCAAGACATTATTTTCCAAGACCCAAAACTAAGACTTAACTCCAAGCTCAAGACCAAAAATAACTAGTTTCAAGACAATAACTAGAGCAAACAGCTCTTTAAATGAAACGGAAAGAAATTCTTTTTTACCCGTCTCAACTTTTATTACTTTTGTTCTTCGCCTACAATTTCTGTCTTTTCTCTTTTGTTTCGCTGGTCTTTAGGGGGCGTAGGGGTGAACATACTTTTCAAAAGCTCAAAAAAGTCGAGACCAAGACAAAGACTCATCCCAAAACCGAAATAAAAACCCAAGAAATGTTTTGAGTCAGGAGGTCCCGAATCCCGATCCCCTTTCTTAATGATCCAGATCGGGACCGGGATTTGCATCCTATCCCGATGCACATCGTGATATTAGCAGGTTGGGAGGTGTAGTTCTAATTTCGAATATTCTCAAAATTTTTGAAAATTGAAGAAATCAGACTTAAATTGAGCCATATGTGAGGATAAAAAAATTTAAAATAAAATAACGCCCCTTTTTGCCTCATTTTTTATCCTTTTCTACGAGGCCATGCAACTTTTTGGTGACCAACCTGTAAAGGACCACCCCGAGGCAAAGGTTTTAGAGTTTATTCAATTTAAATTTAGGTATTCCCGACGACTAACATCTACCTCATACTTATATAAATATTTTAAAAAACTATACCAGCACATCCTTTACAACATTTTTTGCCAAAATATTGCCATAATTCGTCATCTATAATAGCATGACCGTGAGCATAAAGTGGCATTGTATTAGTATTCGAAATTTGACTCAACATCCCATTTCCAATTAACACTCCCTTTTTTAGAAAATATTTGTTTATTAAGAAATTAAAAAATATCCCTCTCTTACTTTCAAATTTATTGGGAACTTTTTTTGTCTTTTAATAATTAAATTGGCCAACATTGGCAAATAGACTCCAGCATATGATTCCCCACTTATAATTGTTGGACGTCCTTTATATTCAGGAAATTTGCTGAGAAATTGTTTTAAAGCTTCATAATTGTAATTTGCTGTCTTTAAATAAAAAAAAGTATTAATTCTTTCATTTTTAATTTCACAGAGGTTTAGGCCCAAAGGATTTAATTGGAATTTTAACCTCTTTAGTATACCTTTTCGAATGCTTTATCAACTGAGGGCTACAAAAGCCACTACTTTTCGATATCTTTTACTCATTAAGATCTTTAACTCTTTCTACAAGCATTCTAAAACACTCTCAAATGAATACTTATAAACGAGGTGAAATTATTCTTTTAAACTTTTTCTTCTCGTTTTTTATCTTCATTTACATTCTCTTTAACAGCATTGGGCTGTTAATTCATAATTTTGAAAGTTATTTTACCTCTTTCTCTTTTGAGGTTCTTTTTTGGTGTGAATCTATAATTTTTTCTCTTTCCAACTCTCACAAACAACGTAAATTTGGAGAGAAAAAATTTTATAATTTAAACAAATTTCACAAAAAAATTGTGAAATTTTTTTACAAATAAGAGAAGATAAAATTGATTTACATAAAAGACTGTCTGGTATTTTAAAAAATTTGTTTTTCTTATTTAACCCCAGTTTTACATAACTTTTTTTGTTTTAATTTTTTATTCCAAACCAGTGTATATCTAATATTGGGTATAACTAAAAGTGAGGTCCATATCAAGGAGCGTGCCGTCCCTATTCTCGAAATCGGTAATTTAATTTCAGCGCGTTCGCTGGTCCAATTTCTAAAAATATATAATTATTTACTTCATCATCATTTGTAGTAATATTTCCATCAGTTGAATAAGAATATCCAACCCCCGCAGGTGATTCAAGAAACAAAACATTGGCATTGTTATTCCAGGCATTAGGATTTTTAATTAATTTATTAGAACCATCCTCCAAAAGTAAATAAGGGCCTAATTCGGTAAATAGACCAAGAAGTGAAGAACATCCAGGGCCGCCATTTAACCATAAAACCTTTATTTGAAAAAAATTTAAAATAGTATCTAATAGTTTAATAAAATTAAGGATTAAATGAGATATGGGAGGGATTAGTTGGGAATTTGGGGTATTTGGGTGTCAAGATATCGTGGGATAAAGATCTAATCCTCTTAAACCCTTGCTATTATTTTCGACCCGAAAATCTCTAGATTTGAAACCCGATCTGACTTTTTCTCAGCCAGTCTATCCATGCTTCAATATTAAACTTTAAAGAGAATATTTTTAAGTAGAAGGATCTGAAATCATTTTTAACACAAAAATGAAAGTCTTAACATTCAAAATAAAATTTACCAATGGATCCTTATTAGGATTATTTTGTGATTTAGTGAAGACATAATGGAGAAATTTGGTTTCTGAGACTTGGAGATAACCTTAAAAATTAATTTATTAAAAAATAAATAAAACATTCCGATCTTTCTTTATAACACACCCAATACGAGGTACACCTCTATTAAGATACTTATTTGAAAATGTTTGGTCTTTGTTCCAGTAAAGCTTATTAAGCGAATTTTCCTATTTATGATACGCCTCAGTATAAAATCTTATTTTTCTTGGTCTGTAATTTAAAGTGAGGTCTAACATTATCTAAATTACCAGAATAATGCTTAAAATTAAGGTCAAAATCTTGTCCTGGAAGTTTTTCAGTAATTTCATCATCCTTCCCATTTTTATTTATTTTTTGTGCCAAAATTAAGTTTAGGGATAAAATTATTGTAAATGCTAATATTTTAATTTTAAATAAATTATTTATTAAATTCATTTTATTTTTTATTTAAAAATGATTTAATTTGGCAGGGAAATTTTGCTTTTTATTTTGGAAACTTTTTGGAAAAATTATCTAAATTTTTATGGCCCTTCTGGAAAGGTTTTTAGAGAATTTTTTTTAAACGTGGATTTTTTTTTAATTTTTATTAAAATACAAACAATAAATAAACATACTCCTGCAATTATTTTTAGCAATCCAAATATAGAAGAAAAAATCAAAGAATTTTTTTAATGTACCAAAAAAAATCTTTTATTAATCCATGTAGTTTGTCTTGCCTAAAATATTCAATAAAAATAATAAAAAATATTTTTTTGGGAGTGTTTTATTTTCCATAATAATAGCTTTTGTTATAACATTTATGTATATTTATTGGCCTCGCCTTTGTATTTTACCTATATTTTAGTTTTTGCATATTAATAATTTTATTAAAAATAAATATATTTTATGATTAATAATCTTTAAATTAATTCAATCAATATTAATTAATTTTATTCAATCTCGCAATTCCCGGTTTTCCGTTATCTCTGTCGCTGCCCGTTAATTGAACATAATTTAAAGAAAAAGTGGTATCTATCGAAGAGTATCCGATAGGTACCAACCTGTTCCGTAGTCGACATTTAAGGGGGGGATATTTAGGGACCGACGTTTGGGGACGATGTTTGAATAAGAAATTTAAATTTTAAAAAATGAAGCAATATTTAAAAAATGATATCAAGGGAAACGAGTCAATTTCCAAATCCCATAAGGAGGCATGACTGTTCAGAATGAATGAAATCGGCAAAAAAAGAAAAAAGTTGACATTTTTTTAACCTTAAAAATAATTAAAATTTCAAATAAAAAGCTCTATTATTAGTGTTGTCGGTTCTATACCGAACCGATGATCTTTCGGTTCGGTTTCGGATATCCGAAACATTTCCAGGTACAGATTTGGATAAAATATTTAATCCATTTTGATAAAGTACACCTCGAGACTTATAAATGTATTTTATTTTGAATTCTAGAAAATTAATTCAAATTTATTTCTTTATTTATTTTTCCCCTTTCTGATTAAATCGTAGTAAATATTATGTAAAAATATACAGATTTCTTTTATCTATTTTTCCTATTTCTAAGTACTATGCACGCCGAATAAAAGAATGGGCCAGTAAAAATCGAGCAAAAAATTATCTATGTATCTACATAAATATGTACATTAGCATAAATAGGAAAAAATTGAAGAATTTATTTTCTTCTTTTTATTTTTCTATCTTTTACATTGATTTTTACAATTTTATATATGTAAAAATTTTTACATTATTACATACATATATACATAACTTTTTTTATTTTTTAAATTATTTTTATTATAAATTTATTAGATAAATATAACATATCATTTACAAAAATGATAATTATCTCCCATTTTGTATTATTTTTTCCATTTCCTTCATTTCGATCCTGAAAATGATATTTTATTTTGTTAAATATAAAAATAAGCATTTTTCATAAAATTTCTGGAAGTGAAGAAAATGATAAAAATTATGTTAATTCAATCAGAGGACATTATGTGCCATTGACCATTGGTACATATAAAGTTAATAAATAAAAAATAAAAACGGATGGTATACAACGTTAGTCTAATAATGATTTTCAAATTTTTTGAATAAATTATTCAATTAAAATGGATCAAAAATTAATTAAATATTTAATATGATAAATTTTGAATATAATTTAATAAAATTTGTACTAGCCACTGCTAACAGGATCCGTTATATACGGCGAAGGTTTTGACGTCCTAGCAACCTAGTTTTAATAGATTAGAAAAAATTTATTTATTTGATGATAAATAGCATATATAATAGATTAACTAATACATACATCAATCTTTTAAAATCAAGCCACTGCCAAGGTTGCAAATATATAAAGCATAAAGTTCCAAAAGGACGACCTGGCAACCTTGTTCATAATGAATAATTTTTACTCAAATAAATTAAATCTTCCAATCCATATTTAAATAAATTGATAGCTTCATATACCTTTTTGGTTAATATTAATGTATTTATTTTTGAATGAAATAATTATGTATATGATTATAAAATAAACAGCAAACGAGCAACATATTTCATAATTAAATACTTAAGACTATTTATGTAAATATTATAAAGATTTCGTCGGATAATAAAAATATCGTTAAATTCTACTGAAGAGATATAAGAAAATAAAAATCTCACTTAAATAATTAGAAATTTCAAATAAAATAATATATTAGATTGAATGATTGTATAGTTATATGCTAAGTAAATTTGGTAAATGTCCAGCTCGCATTCTACCTTCTGCAAATGCAGTCCGCAAAGCATAATGCAAAGAGGCATTTTTCCTGCATTTTTCTCCCTTCTTTTTTTTCCCCTCTAATTCCCTTCGAGTCATCAAATGTTAAAATGATTGGATGACAGCTTGGCTTGATTTCTGTGTTTTTTCCGTATATTCATTATCACTTGAACAAAATGTCTATTAAATGGATTAAATCAAATAATGGTTATTTTTGGAGGTAAGATTAGAATTAGGGCATGATATGTACGAAACGGAAGTGAATTTTTTTCATTTGAAAACAATAAAAATCGTCTAACTTTGTATCAAATCCTTAAAATTCTTGAATATTATCTCATGTCAACGCCTTTATCACTCTCGGTAATATCTATAACATTCAGTCTTCTTATTTTATCATTTTCATGTCCAAAAACTTGAAATAAATCGGAAAACAGTCTACGATTGGCGTCGGATGAGTGGCGCGCATACATTGGGCATACTTTAATTTTTATTTAATTCTTTGTAAATAAATTGTCATTTTTACTTTGATTATAATAATAACAAGCTGTCATCCAATCATTTGATGACATTTGATGACTCGAAGGGAATTAGAGGGAAAAAAAGAAGGGAGAAAAATGCAGGAAAAATGCCTCTTTGCATTATGCTTTGCGGACTGCATTTGCAGAAGGTAGAATGCGAGCTGGACATTTACCGTAAATTTCAAAAAATAAATTAGATTATTAAATTTGTTTTTAATTTTAATATTTAAAAATAAAGAGTAGCTTCTACCGTTGATGACAAATTTTTATTAATGCCATTTAATTAAAAAATTTTAAGTTAAAATAAATTAGATATTTAATAAACCAATAAATCTAAAAATTGATGAACTAAAAATATATCAGAGTTAGATAAATTTACTTGTGAGGCCTTTGGAGAGATGAACACGGAGATTCAAAAAACAAAAGTATTTTAATACTACAGCTATTTTTGTTTAAAATATTAAATTTTTAAAAATAAAGATTAATGAAGAAATGGATATTTTAGTATATAAAATTTAAATATTAAATAAATTATGCATTTTACATTTTTATTTTTATTATGCATTTTATATTGATTATGCATTTCTTATTTTTTATAATAATTATTAAATAAAGTTATTGGTAAATAAATTTATTGTAGATTACCTAATTAGATTTTAATTAATTTAATAAAAATATTCAAAATATGCATAAGGTCAAAAACAATGACCATCAACCCTATCTTATCAGCTAAGTACGATGACATAGGTATTTATAATATGTATATTTAATTATTTAAATATAATTTATATAAATATATTTGTTTAATATAAATAAATTATTAGTTTATATATTATTGATGTTAATTAAATTAATAAAAATAATGCATATTTACAGGAAATATGAGAAAAATTAAAAAAAAGATAGCCCAAAAACGCCTAATTGGGATAGTGCAAAAAGACACTGGACATGTAGATGTGAAACAAATGAAAATAATAGAAATTCTTCAAATATGTAAATATTAATAAAATTCTTCAAATAAATATTTAAATAAATTGATTGCTTCGAATACATAATGTATATTTGAATAACTAATGTTGATCAGATTAATAAATAGATAGTGAAGGATAGATAGTAAATAGATAGTAAAATTTAAATAATTTGCATAATATTAATTTTTTATTGAATTTTGATATTGATACAATTAGTGGCAAATCATAATGAAAAATTGTCATTATCCAGCTAATTAAAAATTTTAAAGTAAAATATTAAATAATGTTATAAACTTAATTAAATTAATACAGTCTAAAATTTATAAAATTAAAATGTATTAATGTTTGTTAAATTTACGTGTGAAGGCCTTGGAAAAGTGAGTCTGGTGATTCAAAAAATAAAAAAATTTTTAATGCCTATAAAAGTATTTTTAATTAAAAAAAATATATATATAAATATGAATACATAGATGAAGTGTTTCTTCTGCAGCAAATTACATAAAATTTTAAATAAATTTAAATATTGTTAAATTATTAAAATATTAAATGAATTATGTATTAAATTAATTTAAATATATTCATTATTTTTTATTAGAATTTAATGTAGAAAATTATTAAAGATAAATATCGATATTAAATAAATTGATTAAATATTATGATAATATTAAATATATGATTAAAATTAAATTTAATAAATACAAATCTGTTGAATGTATCATCAACTACAAGTGATGATAGAGTGTGTTCCACTTCACAAATTTAGTTAAAAAATTATAATTAAAATTCAAATAAATTTATGTTTTTTGTGTCAATATACAGGGTGCGGCATAAGTAATTGCACACTTGTTTTCTCTCATAACTTTATTAAAACACAATAAAATAAAATCGAAATACAATCAAATGATAGAGAATTAAATAGGGAACAATAATAATCAGGCAGTTTCGAAATGCCCACCCTTGGCTTTGATACAGAGGCGAAGGCGCGAAGAAAAAATTTCGCAAATAGCACGCACCTCCTTGTGTGTAATTAAGTCTCACTCTCGGGTGAGTGAGTGGCGCAGAGACTCCAAACTTTTATGAGGCATAGCACAGGTCCTGGACTCCAAAATAGACCAAAAAGAATAATCCATCGGATTCAAATCCGGGGAGTATGGCGGCTATTCCTGAGCGCTAATGAACCCAAGAAAATTGGCCTTGCACCAGTCCTGAACTTCTTTCGCCTTGTGTACCGGAGCAGAGTCCTGTTGGAAAATCCAGACTCTGCGACCGAAATGGCTCTTGAACTGAGGCTTCAGAACACGCTGAAAAAATTCTCGCAAGTAATAGTCTTTGTTGACTTTTACACCAAAATCCACGAAAATAAGGGGTTTTTTGACTGACGCGCAAATACCGGCCTAAACCATGACAGATTGGGGATGTTGGAAATGAGTGATAAGCCCATCGGAAAGAGGAGATTCTGTAGTCCAGATTCTATACTTTTGATGGTTGTGTACGATTTTTATTGTAAAAATTTTTTCGTCTGAGAAGGGAATGTCCGGACATGCGTGCCACTGAAGGAGCAGTTTGCATCCTGCAAGCCTAACTTTTTTTGTTTTTTATGTTAGCAGTTGTGCTTTTTGGATTTTGTAGGGTATTAACCCTAGTTTATTTTTAGCTATTCGTCTGACGGTTATCTCACTTATTCCGGTGTCACGAGCGACTTTTCTCATGGAGAGTCGAAAATTGCGATACACCCAAATTTTGATCATTTTGATATTCTTGGAAGTGCTGACGGAATGCGTTCTTCCACTTTTTTGTAAGTTCTTAGTTGTGCCATCATTACTAAATTAATTTCAAAAAAATTTTCTCCCAAAAAATTTTCACCAGAATTTTTTGAAAGTGTATTGTACAGTGCTCTTTGGGACATTCAAAAGAGGTGAAATTTTGCGGACTGAATTTTTTTCAAAAAAAGTGAAATTATAGAATCACGTTGATTAGCCATAATAGAGAATTGAATGAGCTAAAAAATAAGCCTAAAATCAATTAAAAATATTGACACCAAAAAAAAGTTATAAGGAATTTAAAAGTGTGCAATTACTTATGCCGCACCCTGTATATTAAAATTTTAAATTTGTTTAAATGATAAGAATAATAATTAATGTATTAAATTATTAAATTGAAAAAAAATCAGGAGATATTAGCTTCAAAAGATCTTGAATAACAAGTATTTTAAATTAAAAATAAATAGATTATTAGATTAAATATAATATTTATTAAATGAATAAAAAAAGATTGATGAGTTTTGAAATTTTTTATTTTTCTTGAGTGTCTAAAAAATTGAATTAAATATTAAATAAACTTGTTTATTAAATAGATAAAAATATAATAATTCTATCATTTATTTCAAAAGAACTTCATTTGGCATGGATCATTAAAAAATAAATAAAATAAAATTGATACATCAACTAAATTTATGTATTTTATTAAGGTTTAGTATGTAATTTAATTAATTAAATTATTTGTATTGATGAAGCATTAAAACAATTTTGCATTTTTTAAAGTTTCAAAAACATTAAAATTAAAAATATTAAATAAATTTATATACATATTTTATTAAATCTGAATATTTATTGCATGATAAAATTTCATTTAAAATCTTCATAAGAATAATATAATGATCAATGTAATTATAATTTAAGAAACAAAACATGGTTGTCGGTTTCACCAAATTTTCCGTTTAATCGAGATTTTCGGTTCTGTTTGAAACTGATAACATTAAATGTGGCAACAGAATCCTCTAATGACGTTGTTGTTTAATTTTTTAATTGAAAATCTATTTTAAATTTAAAAGCTAAAAATTTTCTGCGAATTTACGAGGTTAAAAACCGAAAAAACAAAATAATTTTAATTTCGATTTTCGGTTTTTAAATTCAGTTCTAGCCCAAAACAACGGTTTACTTTTTATATTGAGTAACTTTAACTGAATAATTGAGCTTTTTTAAATTTAAAATAAAAATTTTCTACCCACTTTTAAAATGTTTTTTTTATTTTGTTTCTGCGTAATGAGAAAAAAGCAGATGATATATTCTGCACTTGCTTTTTTACATAAAGGCCACCCATATATCCTCAATAACCGAGAGGGCGTGTAGTAGTCCCACAAAAAGGGTTAGGGCACGTCAACAGCAGTTGTGTGCTAAAGCAAATCAAATACCTTTAGTTTAAGTGAAAAGGAATTATTTGATGAAAAAATAAATGTTTCTAATCCCACCTCACAATGTTGTAGTGTGTAGAAACTTTTTTTTAATTTTTATTTAAGGTTTTTTTCATTATTTTTAGTAATTTATTTTGAAAAAATTTTATTATTTGCTAATTTAAAAATTATTTTGCTATTTTTTAATGCCATGCCGTATTTTCTTGATTAATTACCCTCCCTCAAATAATTGCCCTCCCACCTCTTCTCTATAAAATGTTAAAAGAATAATTACCCTTCCTCAAATGCCCTCCAAAACGTTACCCGAGATAATTATACAAGAAAATAAGGTATTTGAAATAATTTTTAAAAAATTTTCATAACTTTAAGGATTTTTATTAAAGTTAATTTTTTGCCAAAATTCCTTAATAATACGTACATATTAAAAAATAACCTAAAAATATTTTTTATTAATATTTTAGTAATTTCAAAGGAATTTTCCCCATAATTTTAATCAATTGATCTTCTCTTTCATTTTACTTTTTACCAATTTATACACTTCCGGATATTTTCTTTCTTTCTTTTTTTGTTTTTGCTCATTTGTTTAAATATATTTATTTTATCCAATTCATCAAATCCAAAATATTTTTACTAAAAATCTTTGACCAATAAAAACAAAAAAACACACTCATTTATTAATTATGTAATCATTCCCTCTTTATTTTTCAATTAAAAAATTATTTTGGTAAAAGAAATGAGTTATCTGGCATCCATTGTTGCCGCTCAAATGATGGAAGATTCTGATCAAGAATTTGAGGATGAAATGGAAGGGGAGATAGAATATGAGGGAGAGGGGGGTCAAGGAGAGGAGAATGAATTAAATAAAGTGGGGATGGAAGAGGAAGTAACTGACGAGGAAGAATATGAATATATTTATGAAGAATATAGTGAAGAGGAGGAGGGAGAAATTGAAAATAAGTTGAATATTGTTGAGAATTGTGAGGAAAAGAAGATAGTTGTTAACAACAATTCTACTATTTTATCAAGTCGATCGGCTGTCGAAGAGGCAGTGTTAGATGAAAGGCTGCGGAGGTGATTGTTTTAAAAAAGTTGAATTTAGTTTTTCTTGGAGTTGGACCCCAACCAAACTATTTGACCTCGACGCTCCACTCCTAATTTTACTTAATTTAACATCGATATATAGATTTTCAGTTATAGCGGTAACAAGTCATAAATGGAAGTTTTCCCTTCAAAATTGAAGAAAAACTATCTAAAGCTTTTAAAATGATTGAATATTAGTGATAATAATAATGTTCCTTATAATGCCACTATAACGAGTTTTTTTGGAATTATTTTTCGAATTATTAGGCAAATATTTATATTTTAAAGCATTTTTCTTTAAATTTTTAAACCCCTAATTTAAGACTAATCGAAGCCCCCCAAGACGAATTTGAACGTGAATCAGCCCTAAACCTTCAATTAGGCAATAATGCTTTTTGGATACCAGATAAAGAACATTCTTTTCGACTTTGTAGAATAGATGGAAATGCTAATAAATTGATTTGTGAACAACAAATAACAGTTGAATTAATTAATGAAATGGGGAATGAAAAGGAATCAAAAGACTGCGGAGATGATTGTAAAAAGGTGAAAAATAAATTTAAAAATTTTGAAGAAAATTTAAATTAATAATTAAACAAATAACAAAATTAACCGCGTGTTAAATAAAATAGACTAAAAACTTAGTCGAGATATTAGGTTACTCTACCTATGGAACACTTTTGCTTTCTATTTTACTTTATAAGTAGATTGTTTTACCCCCTCCTAAATAAGGCTGGCGGATATTTGGAAATCTTCGGATATCCTGATCCGAACCGAAAATTTCGGATATCCTGCCTTACTCCTAAGCGTTTTATAATATATCTTCTCTCCATCAAAAATATTAAAAAAGCGTTCCACACTCACTTGCAAACTGTGTGGCTTTTAGCGAACCCAATTCAAAATAGAACCCATCTGCTATTTTTTAATTTAAACTTTTCTCTGTCCTTCTAAAAAATCGAAAAAATGTGCAAAAAAATTTAAAGAAAAAAATATTTAATTACAAAGCTGCAAAAAATATAAACAGCTGTTGTTGTTAAAATATTTTTATTTATTTTTGTTTATTCTGTGAATTATATTCATTATTATATTTTAAGTTGCTAAAAATAATAGTAAAATTGGTGTAAGAAAAAATAATAAATTATTGCACCTAAATTATATTTTACGAGAAATGGCGAATTGAAAGACGTGTAAAAAACGTAATAATAAATCTTGCCTTACCTAAACATCGCTATATTTTTTTGAATTAGATTTTTAAAAATTAAATGACGGGGATCCCCAAAATAACCTAGACATCGGCAAAATAGAAGTTTTTGTCAACTAATTTAAAAGCTTGATCAGGAAATTTTTCAATTTTGAGTATCCCTCATCTCACCCTTCGCCCTCCCTCCCGCTCCCCGACCAACCCCCTTCCCCTTCCCCCGACCTCGCATTCCGACTTTTTAAATTTTATTTTTTTCACTAAACTGACTCAGATTTTTTATAATTTCATTATTTGAAATTACTTTCAAATAAAGTTTAATTCAAAATTTCCAATTTTAAATAAATGTTAAAGAATAATTTTCAGCAAATCTGCATTGTTTCACGAGAATGCTTGCAACAAACGAGTGTTTCTCATCTCTGCTCGGATATGACACAACTGAGCGAATTAAATGAGCCTTCTGTTTTAGAATGTATAAGACGACGATATTCATTAAATTTAATTCATGTAAAAAGTTTTAAAATTGAAAATTATGTTAACAGCTTTTTAAACTATGCGTTTGTTTCGAGCGTTTAAAGAGCTGTTAAACAGAATTTTACAAATATACAAAAATAAAATTTTAAGACATTCTCTGGTTTATTCTGCGTTGTTGTAAATCCATGGAAAAATCTTCCAGGTCTTTATTCAAAAGAAATGCGCAATATTTATGCCAAAGCCTGCACAACATCGACAGAATTACCTCCTCATGTATTTTTTGTTGCTCAGAGTGCTTTTGATGGAATATGTTCTCCACCTTCTGTTGTAACTTCTCAGTCTATATTGATAACGTAAGAGTTTTTTAAATAAAAGTTCTGTCGGACTTCGCTTAAGTTATACCTCAATTTACGATGTCTTTTAAAATTTGGGTGGTCACTAAACGGGCTGTCTAAGTGATGGACCCAAAATTTGATAAAGCTTATAAAATAAAATTTTTTGACATACGAGGTCCAAATTTTGGAAAATTTTAAGAATACATTAATACATAAAAATATTGAGATAAAATCTCTAAAATAAAGTTAAAAGAATTTTACAAAATTTATTTTTCTTTTCAGTGGAGAAAGCGGTGCCGGCAAAACAGAAAATACAAGAAGAATAATTGAATATTTAATTAATGTTTCTGGAAATTATTCACAAAAAAGAGCAAATTTAAACGAGGGAAGAAAAAGCATAGATTCTGCCTTATTAGCAGCAGGGACAGTTTTAGAAGCTTTTGGAAATGCTCAAACAATACATAATGATAATAGCTCTCGTTTAGGAAAATTTATAAGACTTGAGTTTGAAAATGGTGGCAGACTACGATCAGCATGCATCGATTGCTGTGGGTGAAAATAAAAAATTGAAATATATTAGTAATCAGATCTCACTATAAAATACACTTTTTGTCTAAAAAATATTCACTTATGTTGATCCTAAATAGGGCATCACTTAAGCGGCTTGACAGCCCTCTAGTGCCAAACAGCTCTAAAAAATTTATCTTAAATGGAAGTATAGCTATTTAGTATAATATTAGGTGGCGGGATAAAGTGGGTTGTGAAGAACGTCGGGTAGGGATTTTTTAAAAAAAAATTCCGGATCGGTAACCCGTCCCATCCCTGGTGGGGTTTAGCCAGTAGTGAGATTCTGCCAGAAAATAACTACTAAAAATTAAATTATTTTTTAAGATCTATTGGAAAAATCTCGCGTTGTATGCCAAAATCCAGGAGACAGGAATTTCCACATTTTCTATCGACTCCTCAAAAATTCTTCGTTTTTAGCATCTGATAGAGCTCAAAGAATAGCAAATAAGATATTCGGATATTCTTTAGTCGAAGCTGATTTATTTAGATTTTTGAATCAAGGAAATATTGCCGAAAAGAGTGTACATGCTAAATTTGTAGATGACCTGGAAGGAGGTCGAGAGACTGAGGTGGGGTTTCTATTCATTGAAGTGATAATGGTGTTGCACGATAAATATATTCCATAAGTCCAAGTTAAAGACTCATTTATCTTGAGCTACTCGAACAAGGCATTGGTTCCTGGGATCAATATTTTGGTCTTTATTTTGTGAAAACTTTTGTTTTTGGTTACCTCTACATGCCACCTTTTAATAACGTTATAATCAGGGCTCTCATCGACAAAATGCCACTCAAAAGTATCAAAATCTTGATAAAAAAGTATATAGGGAGAAAATTTCCAAATTTAAAGTATACTCCAAATTAAATTAGAGAATATTTATTCGTGCTCAAATCTTTTATATTTCTCTCCTAAATGAATCTTTTCTAATAATTTCTTGCTTCCACTGAGCATTTTGTGCATTTCAACGCATGACATGTCAAAATTCGCTGATACAAGAAATAAAGCCCTGACAGTCTTAACCTCAAGCAAATTACTTTCTCCCATCTTCAGCGCCGCAGGCGAAATTTTTTTGAAATTCGGATCCCAAGAAGCCAGATTTCTTTCTTTTTCAGCGCCGCAGGCGAAAATTTTGATAATTTCGAAGGCCCAAGGCTAAAAAAATTCACTTTTTTGCCCAATCCCTTCCCCAATTTCATTCTCAATCAAAAATGTTGATTTCAAAGTATATACTTTCAATAAAGTATAAATTCAATTTCTTAAGTATGGAGGTCGGTTTCAAAGTATAATACTTTCAAATAAAGCACGAATGAGAGCCCTGGTTATAATTAAACCCAAGGGCCATCCCTTACCTAACGTTTTCAAAAAATTCTAACATTTCTTATAACTTTCCAGCAAGCAATTGATCAATTAGAATTTACACTAAACGAAAAGAGTTGGATTCGAGAAATAATGTTTGCCTGTATGTTAATTGGCCAAATACGTTTTGGAGAACGTTCGGGGCTTGATATGAGTTATGTGGAGGAAATGATGGAGATTGAAGCTGTTAGTGAATTACTTGGACTTAGCCATTCTTCTCATCTTGTGGATGCTTTAACGCAACCAAGTATTAAAGTTGGGGATGTTTTTATTAAAAGGTGAGTTATGTGGAGAAGGAAAGGATGGTTAAGGGAGCAAACAAATAAAATATTAGCCTTGAGCAATGATTAACTTGGGTGAGCTTTTCTATGGTATATATGAAGGTTTTTGTTCTAGAGAGAACCTTTTTGTCAAATTTCGTCAATAATGGTTTCCTTTACTCCAAAACTTCCATTTCCTTTACCCCAATCATTAATACCTATCATTTTAAAGGAGCCAGCCTTTACGTAAAACACAAGCATCTGCGCAAGCTTTAGCTAAATGTTTATATGAAAGAGTATTTAATTGGATATTAACTAAATGTAATAAAGCTATTGGGATAAATAATAATGTGGAAAATGAGAATAATAAAGAAAGTAAAAATAATAAATTTATTGGTGTTTTGGATATGGCTGGATTTGAAATTATGGAAAGAAATTCGTTTGAACAGCTTTGGTAATTTTTAGAGAAATTGATTAAGAATCTCATATACACTTACTTATTGTTAGTGCGAAAAACAGAAAATTTACTTGAAATTTTTTAATTTTTGAAAAAAAACTTCTAAAATTCTTAAACAATAAGTTTTTAATGAAATAAAAATTCATTAAAGTATAAACTTCACAAATGAACGTTTACAACAATTTTTTAATGATTTTTTGTTTGTTCGAGAACAGCAAGAATATACTCGTGAAGGTATTCAATGGACAGAGCAATCTTATGGAGATGACCTCCAACCTACAATTGACTTAATTGAAAAAGTATGAAATATATTTAAAATTATGTGTTGTCATTTAAATTAATTAATGTCTCAAATTCAGTCCTAACTAGAGTTGGGCGGGATCGGGATCCCGACGTAAAATCGGGATCGGGATTTTGGAATGATGATCCCGATCCCGACTACGGGATCGGGATCAGAAAAATCGGGATCGGGATTCAAAAAAACCGGGATAATCCCGCCCGATCCCGACCGGGATCCCGATCCCGCCCAACTCTAGTCCTAACTTTCTATAAATTTCGGTTTAAATGTAAGGATGATCCACCTAGAGCATTTAAAACGCTTAGGCAGGAATTAAACGATCTAAAAAGAAAAAAGAGAAAGCATTAGTCGATGCCCAGGTAGCTCAGAGGTAGAGCTCATGCATGTAGGCAGCGAAGCGCCTAGCAATAACTTTCAATAAGGTTCAATCCTGCCCGGTGGCTAAACTTTTGCCAAACTCTTTCTTAAATAATAGTAAAAATTGAAAATTTTCGTTCTTCAATTCCTCTACCTATTTTATAGTATAAAATTTATACACACACTTTATATTTTTATTTTCCGTTCAGCCTTTGGGTATACTTTCACTATTACAAGAAGAATGTATTGTGCCTAATGGTTCAGAACTTTCGCTTTTAGAGAAAATGTTTCAAAGATTGTCTCATACAGCTCCTTCCGTGTTTTCCAAAGCAAAACAGACATCTCGGTAACATCTTCCCTTTCTCCTCTTTTATTTTTAACATTTAAACAGAACATTAAATTCCGGTCATTTCACAATTTGTCATTATGCTGGTTCTGTAATTTACAATGTTGATGGATGGTTGGAAAAAAATCGGGATTCTGTCGATTCAAATATTTTACAAGTTTTGGCCAATTCCCAACATCCCTTAATTTCCCAACTTTTTACCAATTCCCAATTAATTTATTCAAAAAGAAAAGGCCCAGCAATGGCACAAGCAAGCATTAGCTTTGTTTATAGAGAACAATTAAATAAATTACTTGAGACTATTAAACAAACTAGGGCACATTTTATTAGATGTATTGTGCCTAATCATCAAAGAATACATTTTCAGGTACTTTTGTTATATTTATCTTTTTTTAATGAAAAATTAAAAAAGAAATTTTGCCATAAAAACTAAATTTAGCTTGAAAAAATTTTTGTCTTTAAATATGTAAAGTTTCTCCCAAATTTTAGTTGAACGGACCATTAGCAATGCATCAATTAAGGTAACTTTTTAATGTACTGGTAGATCATAAACCCCCCTTTAGACCAGAGTAAAAGTAAACAGAAAAGTATTTATAAATATAGGAATGGTGTATAGGATATGTGAAGATGTCCAATGATCCGCCACCCCCAAAATTATATTAATTGTTAATACCTAGATAAGCTTTTAAGAGCTTTTGATAGTTATCTCCCAAAAACCTGTTCCAGAATCAATTAAGCTCCGACTTCTTCCTAATTCTAATAATTTAATTAAAGGTGTAATGGTGTTTTGGAAGGTATAAGAATATGTCAAAGAGGTTACCCAAATCGAGTTCGCTTTGAAGAATTTATCTCTCGATATCGAATTCTTTCATTTAAAAGTCAAGAATATCAACAGAAAAAATTGTTAAAAGAGGACCCTAGAATTTTGGTTGGAAATTTATGTGAGGATTTGGAACTTGACGAGACACGCTTTCAGGTGTTTAAAATATCCCTAATCCCATGAATGTTTTTAAAAAATTTGTGATAACGTAACGTTATAGATTGGAAGAACACGATTATTTTGTCGAGTTGGACTTCTTTCTGAATTAGAATCTCGTAGACGAAACAAACTAAGCCAAACTTTAACTGATTTACAAGCCTATATTCGTTGGTATTGGGCACAAATTGAATTGAAACGGAGGAGGGATGAATGGTTAGTTTGTATTTATTGATATCAAATGATAAAAGCCTCTATCGTCGAGAATAGAGATATAGTTTTTAGAGCATGGAATTTTTGAAAATAGGACCAGAACCCTTTAAATTACCGTTCATTCGAGGCTTTAATAGTAAAATTAAAGTTATTTCATTTTAAAGGGAATCTTTATTAACAATTCAACAATCACTTCGTTATTATATCAAACTAAAATCATGGCCTTGGTATAGACTTTATCAAAAAGTATTTCAATTAATTCCTCTTGTTTTGGATAAACGGAGATTGAACGAATTGTTGGCAGAAAATAATGAACTTAATAGAAAACTTGGAGAAAGTAATGAAAAATTACAAAAAGCGATGAGAGATTTGAGTGAATTAAGGTGGGAGAATAATTTTTAAATTGTAAGAGTTAAAACTCATTGTTAGTTATTACAAAGGTTGTTGGAATTGGGCAATTATCACCAACAATTATTCTGAAACCCTGAAACCACAGGGTTGGCCTTGATTCGAACTCAAATAAGGACTGTGGGGCGACGTCCTACCGATATGCCCTAGTCCCCTTATGTCATATTTAAAGAAAATCTACTAACATAATAATGCAAATGATTATGATTTTGAGAGTACAGAAAACCTTAATTGTATGGCACTGACTTTACGTTCTCAGAGAACCCCAAAAACAGCTTCAGCTTTATTTGGATACTCTGTATCATAAAGGCACCGAAACTTGTTTTATAAAGCGAAAATTGGTTTTCAATAGTCTCGTAATCATCCCCCCTCTCCCACCGACCATTTAATTAATAAATAAGTACAAATGTTCGAAATTTCGTAAAATAAAGTCTTTTTAAGCGAACGCTTAGAAAAATCAGAAAAATCCAGAGAAGATGAACACTCAAAAACTCAAGAATTACGTTCAGAATTACATTTAAATGAAGAATTATTGGAAAGAATGGAAAGAAAATGGGATGAACAACATTTAAAAGTTATGAGATTAAATAATACTTTAGGGGAACAAACTAAAGCTATTGAAAGATTAGAGGAGGAAAGAAATGGATTAAATAAAGAAAATGAAATGGTAATTTTTAATTAATTTAAGGAAAATATTTTGTATATAATATGCGTCTTCTATTTTTTTAAATGCGGTGGGATATCACTAGTCTAGTAGTGCATCAGGAATGACCTTTGATTATTTGAAATAATACATACTACATAAAGTTGGACTAAGAGTCCATTAATTAGTGTTTCAGCGGATCGAAAATTTGAAACCGGATTCAATTTGAGTTCCGGATTCCGAACCCGAAACCAAAAAACGCCGGACTTTCCGTAGCCTGAGCCGGAACTTCCGGTAAAACTCTGCTGTTAATATCTTGCTAGAACATTCTTGTTATAAACTTCTTTTGTATAAATTTAGCAAAACTCAAGAGCATTATAAGCATTTTTTAATAAGCTCGAGTTTCTCTAAAACATTGCCTTCGTTACCGAAATGAGCGAGATGAGGGAGGTGTTATTTGAGGGTAGTCAAATCACTCTAGAATATCATCTCGTGCCCTAATTTAGTCGGCATAGAAAGGGAAATCTGTTTATTTATTTAATCATTTTAACAGTTAAAAGAAAATTATCGTCTTGAATGTTTGGAACGTCTATCAGTAGAACAATCATTAAATAGTTCACAGGAAGAAAGTTCAAAATTACGTTCAGAAGCAACAGAAATGTTAACAGAAATAAGCCGTTTACGTTCAGAAATTAATTTAAGAGATGAACAAATACACGAACAAAAAGAATTAATTAACGAAAATTTAATACAAATTGGGGATTTAAATAATTCTATTTTTGAAGCTAATGAAAAGTTAAATGAATTACAACCTTTATTACATTCTGAGAAATTAGCTAGAAGAAGAGCTGATAATTTAGCTGATGATTTAAGTCAAGAATTAAATAAAATGGGGGAGGAATTGGATAAAGTTAATGGGAAAAGAGATGCTATGGTGAGTGAATAACAAAAGATTTTTTATTTGAAACTAATAATTTTTGAGGAAAACTTTAAAATCCTGCCTCCATTAATTATCCCGGGTAATTAATGTTATAATATTTCAAATCACCAAGGATCTAGCCGACCCGATTTCTAACGTTTCTCATGCCGGAAATATCCATTCCCGAAATCGAGACTCGGGAATTCTCGTTCCTGAAATCGTAAATTCATTTTTTGAGTACTTAAAGCTAATAAAGAGAGGTAATCTCAATGTCAGTTCTTGCTGAATCTTCAGAAACTTAGACCATGTTTGGTTATGAGCGATAAACTATGATAACCTGCTATGTATAGAATTAGCAGTAGTATAGAACAGACATTGAGAGGCCAGAACCTTACGATTGCAGCATTCCCTTCCGGAAAGGATGCAAAAACATTATAAAAATATATCTTTAAAATACTATCAAAATACCCGAATTTTTATTCGAATAGAAAGAACAATTACGTGCCCGTGAAGTCCAAACAAAAAAATTAGAAAGAAAATTAGAAGATAAACAAGCAGAAATGGATGAATGTGTTTGTGAACTTAAAAAAGCCCATAAACGTATCCAAACAGAATTACAGCAACAATTGGATGATTGGAGAAGAAAAGGGCTTCGTTTGGAAACAGAAAATGCCCAATTGAAAGGAAAATTAGAAGCAGCGGAAATTAAAGAAAAAACTTTGGAAAGAAATAATAGTGGAAATTTAAGGAGTGCAACTGGACGTTTTGGGAGTTTACAGGCTACACAAGAAAGGGATTTGAGAGATTCTAGTGTTGATTCTGATGTTGGGATTGTTGGGGGAGGTGAATGAATATGTATATATTTATCCTGTTTTTATTAGAAGAGGGTGTTTTATTTTATTGAAGAATCTTTTAATAGCACTTTCACATAAAAAGCGCCTTGCGTTTGCGCGGGAATGAAGAGACGTGATTTTGTCTCTCCTTCTTTTGAATGCTATTTTTGCCCGCAACACTTTTTATGTAACAAACCATAAGAGATAATTGAGATAACTAGACTTGAGATACAAAATAGATATCTCGAAGGATTTCGATTCTTAATCTTAAATTTATGTACCCCCCCCCCCACTCCTGTATGAATCTTACTAAAATTTATTTTAAGGAATATTTCGCCCCTCTTATTCCTCAAGAAATACTACATTAATGTCAGCTACAGTTTCCTCTACATGTTCTTCCTCTCTATATTCTGGAAGCTTAAGTCGTCGTTATAAACGTTATGAAACAAATAATGCTTTGTCAGAATCAACACATTCAGCAACAACAACTTCTTTATTTGAATCTAATTTACTTCGACGTTCGGGATCGAGAACTTCTTCAATGGGAAATTTGTCTTCTTCTGTTTCTTCAACCTCTTCTTCTCTACGCAGGGCAGCAGTTGCTAATTCTGCTGCAATGGTTTGCACAAAAACCTAAAAAAATATTTTTTGCTTATCCAAAAGGCTTTTTTCTCCTCACATCAGTCGGCTCCGGTACAAAATATGGAATCGTTAAAATATGGAATGGTTAAAATCGCGAATAGGCTAAAAAGGGGTTAAAATACCGAATCGTTAAAATATGGAATGGTTAAAATATCGAATCGGGTAAAAAAGGGTTAAAATATGGAATCGTCAAAATATCGAATTGATAAAATGTCGACACGGCCAAAATGGGTCAAAATGTCGAATTCCTTTAAAAAAGGTTCAGATGAGTGCCATACGTTGATTGTTGATAATTTTATCAACCTATCAACTTACTGCTGATAAGTTGGTTGAAAAGTTTGGTAAGTCTTAGTCCGGCGTAATCTTTTCTCCTGAGTTCAGTGTATTTTACGGAGTAAAACCGGACCGGTTAAATCAAGCATAATCGACCGGATCCGGTCCGGCATGATCGTACGGATCCGGAAAACACAACAGGATCCCGATACGGAAAAATTTGAGTAGCGTCACTAGTTTTTAGTTAAGAACTAAATTTTGTACCTTACCGTATACGGTACGGAATACCGAAAAATACCGATCAGCTTTTAAATTTTATCGGTCGGCATTCCGTACCGTACTACCGAAACGGAATACCGAAAAATACCGTCGGTATTACGGTAACGCCCGGATTTTAGGTTTTGGCGCCATTTTTAAAAAAAATTCGACATTTTGACCCATTTTGGCCGTGTCGACATTTTATCAATTCGATATTTTAACGATTCGGTATTTTAACCCCTTTTTAGCCTATTCGCGATTTTAACCATTCCATATTTTAACGATTCCACATTTTGACCCCTTTTTAGCCTATTCGCGATTTTAACCCATTTTTACCCGATTCGAGATTTTAACCCTTTTTTAGCCTATTCCATATTTTAACGATTCGATATTTTGTCCGGACACGCATCAGTCCACTTTCAGTAATTTTCTGCCTAACCAATGAAAGAAAATAGTGTTAATGTTAGAAATAAAAAGGGAAGTAATTGTAGAAATAAAATTCTAGTGAAAGATGAGAGAAAATGCGAGGGAGTACTCATTTTTCCTTTCAAAAACTGCTTTGCTCACAAACTGACATTTTCCTCTTTTAAATATTTAATAGGTTCTGGGTATTTGCCCTCTCTGAAACTTACCTGGCTGGGGCGCTCATGCGATCACGAAGGCATTGCGTCTGTGGTGAGACTTCCCCATTGCACTTAAGGGCGAGGTTGACCCGCAGGGCGGCTCCGAACTGGGGTAGGCCCACAGCTAAATTTTTGAGTGTGGGGGACAGCGTTCGCGCTTCCCCCTTAAAATCTATGTTTTACTGAGTTGATGTGGGAATTACTTCCATGTAATTCTTTTATTAAAGTCAAATTTGTACTTTTTAAAATTACAGCCAGTCTCCATCAATTACCTAATTTCTCTTCATTTTTTACAGATAACTTCATTAACTGCAACAATCGACTCTGGCCTTCTTTCACGTAGCCCTTCAGCTGCATCTACCGTTTCAGGATGTGTTGCTAACACAAATAACCCTTCAGGCACTAACTATATGCAAAGTCTTTCTCAGCGATTAGAAGGGGCAGAAAGACGGTTACTTGAAAAAGAAAGGGAAATACAAACTGCTAAACAAGATACACAACTAGCAAGGAGAGAATTGGATGTCTATAAACAATCTTTACAAGAATCGGAAAGGGTACTTTAATATTGGTAAATGTTAACATTTCCTTTGTATAGTCACGGGATTCGTTAACCAAACAATGCCGTCAACTTACCTCAGAACTTGAACAAATGGGCAAAAAACTTAAAGAAGAAGAGGAACATTTCCAAACCTCTCAATTTGAGTCAAGAAAACAATCCAACGATTTTCTTATTTTAAAACAAAAAATTGAAGAGTTAAAGGAAGAAAATGAGGCAGAAATGGCCTTAGAGAAGTAAAGAAAATAAAAATATTTTTTGAAAAAATTTTAAATTTTATTAGGAAAAGAAATTCAGAAAAAATGGAAAAGTTGGTTTATGAGGTTGGGAAAAATAACTGATAAAATAAATTTTAATTTCCTTTCATTAGTACGAATCACGCATTCGCCAATTTGTCAATGCCCAGCGCAGTCAAGAACAATTACTTGAAAGACTGACTGAATCTGAATCACAATTGGGTTGGTCCTTCTAAAAATGCATTCTTAGGGGCACCCTGAGTTTTGAGAAACAATAATTGAGCTCATAAAATCTTGAATTTTTTTTAAAAATTTCTAAGTCTTCCAACGATTTTTCATTTTTAAAATACTCGAAATGTATAGGGACAATTCGATATAACTAATCGGCAGCATTTCTCGATCCATTTTTTCTTGTTCAAGCTTACTCGCTATACTTAAGACTAATTATTTTTGTAACAGTATCGTTCTTTGTTTATAATATTGAGTATTTAATTTAATAAGATAAAACCCAATCACAATTGGCTCACATGGAAAGACTACAACGTACACAATCTGCTATAGGAGAAACTTGGGAAGCTCAATACCGAACTGCTCAGTCTGAATTGGAAGGTATTAGGGATGAAAATGCTGCTTTAAAGAGTCGGATCCGAAGACAGAAAAAACAAATTGAATTGCTTACACGTAGGGGAATTTGATTGAGAATTATTTCCTCTCTTATTTAGAAGAAAATGAATTATCTGAGAGAGTAATTGAACTTGAGAATAATGTTGGGAGAGTACAAAATCGTCTTCAAGGAGACAAATCTGTGAGTGAGAGTTGCACGGAACATTATGTAGCAAAAGAAGAACAGAAAAATTCTGGTGAAGAAATAGGGAGTGAAGTACCTATATTTACATACTTTTAAAATTAATTAATTCTAGTCACTGCCTTGTTACAGATTTTAATAAAAAAATATTTTTATTTCGATTTATTTAGGGAATTTTAAAAATTTTAACAAAGATTGCATGAATTAGCACAAATACGTTTCTTTAAGTCATTATTAAATAGACGATTTTCACAAAATCCGCGTTTGGCCCAACGTTCACATCTGAGTTTAAAAATTATGAAAAAGTCAATATTTTTAAAAAATTCAAAACGTTCAATCCTCAAAATTAGAGAGCGAGATTTTCAAAAACTTTGATCCTTGACTTCGGTTGGGTACCTTGACCCAGGGTTGTCGTTTACAAATCACTAAAATGGGGCGCAGCCCCTCAAAAATAGGGCAAAAGTAGGGCGAAATCGGTCAAAAATATGGCAAAAAATAGGGAATTATTTTAAAAAACATAAAAATAATTAAAATTTTAAATAAAAAACCTTATTCGGATGTTCTCCACTAGTTTTAACTAAATTTCTAAAAAAACAGAAAAGTTCAAACGACATTCCCAGACTGGGAATGTCGTACGAGATATCTCGAAAAATCTCGATCTCGATAATCAAGTTTTTCTTCAATATCTTTGGAACTGATAGATTTCTTTCATTTTAGCAAAATTTTGAGAATTTTAAAAGTTATGAAAACAGATTTTTTCCTTTTTTAGCGCCAAAGGCGAAAATTTTGAGAAATTAAAAAGACCAATAGTAGAGATTTCTCCTTTTTCAGCGCCGCAGGCTAAAATTTTGGGAATTTTTATGTTCAAGAGTTAAATTTCTTTGTTTTTCGCATTTTATTTAAAAATACTCGAAAATTTGAAAAAATATTACAAAATGTTAAAAATATGGCAAAATATGGCAAATGTATAAAATAGGGAAAAAATAGGGCGAAAAGGCCAAAAATAGGGAAAATCCCATATAAATAGGGTAAAACGACAACCCTGCCTTGACCAGATTCTTGACCTTGAGTCCAGGAAAAATCAAGGAACGCATAAAAAATGCCTTGATCTGGACTCTGGGTCCAGGAAAAATCAAGTTCTGGATCCAGATCCAGCCCGCTCTCTACCCAAAATACTCAAATTTTCAAAACACGGAATTAATAAATTTTCAAAAAAAAAAATTTTTTGCTTACCGAAAGCTTTTATCGCTACATTCAGTTTTCTTAATTATATCTTTATCGTCTTCACTCTCTTTCGCCTCTTCTAAACTACTTTCTTCTTCACTATTTTCCCCTTCACTACTTGTTTCTTCTTCACTACTACCACCTTCTTCTTCATTTTCTCCACTTTTAATTTTTTCTTCCTTCTTTTTATTTTTTAAATAAATTTTACAAGTACAGTCACAATTTTCTTTCATTAATTCTTGGTAAGGCTTTATCCCACAAAATATATTATTTTCTAAACAATTTTCTGCCAAATCTACACACTCATTTTCTTCCTTATTTAATCCCTCTTTGTTACTTTCCTTTCTGTTTTTATAGTTTCTTTTTAGTTTAAATTTTAAAAAATTATTTTGCTGTCTTTCTTTCTCCAAAGCCTTGAAATAATAAAAAATTTTTGATTTAAAAATATTTATTTATTTACCTTCCTTACTGCTTCCCTTGAAACGATTTTGAACTCTTCAAAAGCTGTTTGCAGCAAAATTGGAAATAAAGACAATTCATTCCACGGCGCAAATTTGTTGGTCTTTAAATAGTTTTTGTCGACTTCGTTTTCTCTAGAAAAGTCTTAAAATTATTCAAATCGAAAATCTATATTCGAAAACTAGAGAGATCCCGCATGCGGGAGTAACTTCTAAAAACGCCTTCTAACTTCTAAAAACATTTATATTCCCGCGGGAATACTTCCGCAAAATCCCGCACTCCCGTAAAACCCCGCAAATCGTAAAAAGTGCGGGATTGAGGGAGCGGTATTTAGCAAAATCGCGCGAAGGGTCCCATCCCGCGCCGACCTCTACTATAAACCGCTTACTTGTTCCAATTTTTAACACCCTCAAGCGGGATTTCATTCCTCCAAGTTTCAATTAATAAATCATTTCCCTCATTCTTTTCTTTATTTTCTCCTCTTTTTTCATTCCTTTTTATATAAAGTTTTTCCGGAAAGTTTTGTTCTTCTTTGTTTTTATTTCCCTTGTTGTCCTCTTCTCTTTTATTGTTCTCTCTTTTAATCTCTTCCGGAATTTCCGACTTTTCTCTGTTATCTTTTCCCTCTTTAATTAATTTATTGTTACTATTTCCCTCTTCTTTTTTCTCCCTTTTCTTCTCTTCCAATTTATTTTCTTCATTTTTAATAATAAAAGGCTTATTCAAGTTAGCATTTTTCCTTTTTTCTTCATTTTTCCCTTGAAGTTGTTTTTCCTGTTTTGTGTTAAATGAAGGTTTAGCTTCAATAGTTGATGACCCAAGACTTGAAAACGGATTAGTACTTTCTTCTTTTTTCTTTTCAAAATTTATTTTTTCTTTTATTTCATCCCCATTTGGTGCAAATTTGCTTAAAAATGTATTATTATAATTTTTTCTTTAAATTAGGAATTTGATTGATTTGATAACTTCCAAGTTTCTACCAATCTTTAGTAATTTTAATTAGTTGGTTTTCGTTATATTTACCCATAAATTCCCAAATCTATTATGGTTGGGGTTGCCAAAATGGCCCGACTCGGACCGAAAGAACGAGTCGGGCCTAAGATATTTGGCCCGAAAAAGTCTCGATGCCCGACTTGATAAAATTGAAGCCCGAAAAAAATCATCTAAAATTCATACAATCGCAAGTTCAAAACCCCTTCCAACAATTCAATTTATACGATTTTATTTATTATTCTATTTTTTGATAAAAAAATAAATTATTAATTTTTACATATTTGTTCGTTGATCGTCGTCCTGTTTTCCAATTTCATTAACTTTTGACTGATTATTTGGAACAACTCTAACAAAAATTGGATTTGTTGGATTATTATTCAGTCGGTGTCCATTTACTACCAACGGGACAAATTGCCTTTCATTACCCTCAGAATTTTCGGAAATTAAAGGATTCTCGTTATTTAATTGTTTATTTGTTTGGAGATTGGGGGATTTTTGTGAATTTTGGGGCAAAATTGGCGGGACTTGGGCAAACGCAAGTAATTCAGAAGGTTGCCCGTCGAGAACATTAAAAGAGCCAAATACAAGGGAAAATGAATTTAAAATTAGAAAAATAATTAAAATCGAGAATTTCAGGGGAATCTGAGTCATTTTAATTAATTTAAATTAAAATTTTTGTGGAAACTAATTAAAAATTAATTTTTCTCTTCATTTTTATTTGACAAGAATTTTGATTTAAAAAACAAAAAAATAGAAAGTATTGTGAAATTTGTTTGAAATAAAGATAAAAATAGAATAAAAGGGGTGAAACAAAGGAATTTTTAAATGGATAAAGGATAAAAATACAAAAATAGAAATAAATAAAGAGAGATGATTTTTAAAAAATAAAATTTTAAACAAAAACAGATTTCTTTATTTTTAGAAAAATTTCAAAAAAAATATTTTTCATAAAACAAAAATAATATTTAGTAATTATTTTTAGAAAACAAAAGAATATTGAAAATTAAATAAAATTTGTGTATAGCAACATTTAATTAATTTTGTATTCCAAAATTCTCCATCATTTTTGCCATCTTAAAATTTAAAAATATTTTATTTTTACTTCTAAGAATTTTTTTAATAAATTCTTTTCTAAAAACAACATTCTTCGTTGTTGAAAATATGTATTTCCGAACAAAATAGATACACCTTATTTAAAATACATACATGCTTTGAAGTCTGAAGGTCACTGAATATGAGAAGCTGTCTAAGGTACCTTTTATTTAAGGTATATCTCATTATCAGTATACCTCATTCGATCCTGCCTCTAGCAAGTTTAATTTTATTGAGTAACCATCAAAGTACAGAAAAAGTACAATTATAAAATTAAATTAAAAATTGTCAATTTATTTAAAATAAACTTTCATAATCTCCCTTTTTAATTTTAAATTATTATTAATTTTCTTTTTCTTGCCATAATGAATAAAACAATTTGTCTAATCATTTATAAATTTTGAAATATTTTCTTTTAATAATTTTTTTACAATTTCTTTTAATTATTCTTAGGATTTTACTTTTTCTTTTTTTAAAAAATAAATTAACTGAGGAGATAGTCTATAGTAGTGTTAGGCACGGTTCGGTACTACCGCGGTACTACCGTCAGTACCGGACCGGTACTTTTCGGTACTACCGGTACCGGTACCGTACCGGTAAGATTTTTGGATTTTCGGTACTGACCGGTACCGGTACTTTTCGGTACTACCGGTACCGGAACCGTACCGGTCAGCTTTCCAGTACCGCGGTACTACCGGTTTTTCGGTACTGGAAAATTCTAAGAAAAAATGGAAAATATTATCATATGGACTTCCAAAATTCCTAGAATTTTCACACGAAGCCTATCAAAAATCGAAAATTTTTGCCTGCGGCGCTATAACAAGAAGAAATCTTGGCTTCTTGGCCTTCCAAAATTTTATTTTTTTGGAATTTCATGGTCCATCTCCTCAAATTCCTGTAAACCCCGATTAAGGTTAAGAATATCATTAAAGTTAAGAATACTTAAGAATACTCACATTCTCTGATATGCCCCATACATATATCTAAATGAAAAGCTCTTAAGCGGATATTTTAGGCTAACAGATATAAATGGATTTGCGGGATTAACAAGGATAAAAGAGGATTTGTGATGTTTAAAAGTAATATAGAGGGATTAGGGAGATTTCTAAGGATATTAGATTAGGTATATACTGGTGTATTTTTCAGTATTTATATGTAGGGGGATTAAGATGGATATCGGGGAATTTTGGAAAGGATATCAGAGGATTTGGAGAGATATCGAAAGAATAAAACAGATATGGTGGATTTAGAATCATGTAATAAAGGCATTACATCTCACAAAGGTATCTTAATCCGATCAAATCCAGCGAAATCCCCCTATATCCCTCTTAATCCCCTAATATCCCTTGATATCCCAACTAACAACGATCATATAGGTATATAGAACTGTTACACATCAATTAGCACATTTATAAGGCCATATTTGGGATATTATTTCATTTTATTTTCAGTACCGGAGTACCGCGGTAGTACCGGAAATTTTTTTCCGGTACTGACCGGTACCGGTACTTTTCGGTACTACCGGTACCGGTACCGTACCGGTCAGATTTTGGGATTTTCGGTACTCGTCCGGTACCGGTACTTTCCGGTACTACCGGTACCGGTACCGGAAAAATCCATTTGCCTAACACTAGTCTATAGAGGATTTTGCGGGATCCCGCAACACGATTTATCGTATGAGATATTTCGAAAGATCTCGATCTCAATAATCGTGATTTTTGTTCGAGATTAACTTCTTAATATTTTTCCCAACTAATTTCTGAATTCTTTAGTAAAAAAAGAAAGTTTTAAATTATCCTTTATAGTTTAGAATTTGTTTTCTTGTTTTATACAATGCATTGAGTCATAGAATTTTTATAAATCTCCCAAAAATGTCAAGCTGGTTCCAGGACCGTGATAGCTTTTAGCGCTGCAGTGCTGAAAAGTCGTTTCTCTTTCATTGCAATAAAATATTCGACAATTTTGCCCAGTCATTTAATCATGCGCATTTTAGCATTTGCCATATGATGGCAGGGGGAGAGAGGCAAGGCGAGAGAGGCAAGGCCTGCCATTTAATCTCTTAGAATTTATTTTTATTTTCCCTTTAAAATTTTAATTGATTTTAATTTTTAAATGATTGACAGTGAGGGGAATTTACATAGCATTCTTAATTTTTTAAATTTAAAAAAAAATATTTTTAATAAATAAATAAAATAAAAATTGTTAAAATTATTTTTCTAATTACAGCAAAAAATAACTTTGAAACACTAAAATATTTCTGTCCATTTAAGGACACATTTGTTAATAATAGGAGTCTCCTATTTGTGCTATATTTATATTTTATATTTATTCCCATTTTCTTTTAGGGGAATTTTAAATTTTAAAATTTAAACAGAAAAAGTTTATTTATTCAATTAAACATGAAAATGTTTATATCTATTAGCAGTAAGTTTTATCTTTTAATAATTTAAATTTTGATTTCCATAGTCCTAAATCTAATTATATCCTTACTTTCTAAGTTATATGTTTAGGAATTTTGAAAAACCGGCCGGAAATGATCCTGACCGTGAAACCCAGTGCCTGGGAAAACAAGCATTTTCAATTTTTATTTTTCTCAGCTCTTAAATAAACGGGGACCTGAACGGGAACCGAGAATTTTGTTCAAACATTACCTCATTCTATAGAAATTATTAGCTTGTTACTATTCAATTACTTAAATACTTTGTGAAGTCTTTTTATCAATGACTTTATGCCTAATTTATTGGATATTATTATCAAAAGTTGCTCTGATAAGAACTAACTTTTTGATTTTTCTATAGCAAACAGAGGGAGAGGGGGGATTTTTTCAATAAATTTGAAAATAATCTTGAAATCTATATTTTAGTTTTCCCTGCTATGATATACTTTCTGTTACCAACATTATCTACATGTCCATCAACATCTCAAGGACCACAACCAATTAATGTTGTAACAGAAACAGCAAGTGAAGAAACTTCAATTTTGTCTTTACTACCAAGAGAGGAAAGAGAAAATTGTGAAATGTTGAAAGAATTAGACGCAGCCCAAGAATGGAGTATTACAATTCCATCAATTTTAGTGAAAGAATTTTTAATTGGTTCATTAACACCATACAAAGTTTTAGATAAGGGTTAGTTAGAATTCTTGCATTTTTATTAAAAATATACCGTATTTATTCTAATAGAATGGCCTCTCCAATAGAATGGCCCCTTTTTGGGGGTATCGAAAAATAGAATTACGGCCATTCTATTAGAATAAATACGTTATATCAAAATTTTGTTTTGTGTCCAAAATTTGTGACAAAAACTGTTAGTTGTTGGTCTGAAACGAACCGAAGAACGGAGAATTTTACGATCCGTTTCTTCAATTAGGTTTCGGATATCCGAGAGTTGTCAAACACCGACAAAACTATTCTATATTTATATTTATATACAGTGAATCTTTTGGTAATTTCTGTGTTATTAAAGGGTATTTTCTTGAGTTGAAAATTTTCGCTTTCTTCTGTCATAAAAAAATCAAAGACTTCGAGTTTTTAAGTGTCATTTTCCTTTTTTAATCTAAATATAATTCCGTAGATTTAAATAGTAAATTATCGTTTTTGTTAATAATTTTAAAAAAAGTTTAATTCAGAGGTTCATGAAGAATTAGATAAATTCAATTTTAACAATAAACTCGGAAAAGATATTTTGAAAAGAATTAACGAATTAGTCAAAATAGAGGACCATGTAATTAGAAATTTCTTTATCAAAATTATTAAAAAATTAAAAGCAATGGAAATTATTAGCAATGTTGAAATGATTAGCAAGCATTCCGAAAAAAATATTAGCAAGTATCCCGAATTAAATAAATTAATGGAGTGTTTTACTGAAACAGGAGATAAGATTGAGGTAGGATATTCGATTCATTATGTTGTTCGATTCTTTAAATGATGTTACCTGCTTGTCCGAAAATAACCTAAATTAGTCACGCTCAAATAAGGTTGGCGATTCTTTGGAAATCTCCGGATATCAGGAACCTGTATCCGAACCAAAGATTTCGGATGTCCAGAGCCGAAATATTTATTCTCAAAATATTCGCTTGTTTTAATTGAAGGATATTGAGAGATTAGGACCTTCGATTTAATAAACTCTCGTTTTAACCCTCCATATATAATCAAGAAAGTACATAATTTGCAAATATTATTATTTTTTAATTTTTAAAAATTAGAAAAATAAATTTCAGGAACTAGAAAACATAGATTTCAAAGCAAAAGTTTATTTATTCTACTACATGTGGATTTGGCAATTGATCGATTTTTTGGATCTTGATGCCATTAAACGAATTCAACTTGTCGAGGATAACAAAAACTTTCTTTATGTACCCAATCGCGTTTCTGAAGTTTTGTTTGCTGATTGGTTACAAAATAAAGTTTTGCCAAAAATCGAAGCAGAATTTATTTCACAAGTAAACTACCTATATACATATTTAATTATTATTTTATTACTTGATTTAATTAAATTTAATTGATTTACCGTTAACTTTTGCTGAAAGTTGATACTTTCATTTTTGATACTAAAGTCAAT